CTGACCCTGGCAAAGTCATTGCTCCATGTATGCCAGTTCCTAATCAGTAACAGGAGCTGCTGGGAGAGCTGAGATACTGTGGCAAGGGCATGCCCCAAACCCTCAGACAAGCTGTTGTGGTAAGTTCTGAAGTGAAGGTCTTGAGACAGTGAAGAACTCAACCAGTCACCGTGATACTGAATCTTGTTCCTTTTATTTTAAGATTACAAAGCTCAAGATTGACAACAATCCATTTGCTAAAGGTTTCCGCGAGCATGGGAAGAACACTCGAAGGTAAACTCTTTTTTCATCTTAACGTGTTTATAACTGGAGTTCGCTTGTGAATTTTACCCAAGGCCAGAGAGCAAAACTGTACCAGCTAGCGCTGCGGAGTCCACTGCATTGTGCAAACTGCTTGTCTGTGTATGGGAATGATGAACCCCTGTGCAGCCTTCTCCCGAGAGACTTGGGGAGTGGGAGGAGATACAGAATTCCCTACAGAAATGTGGGAGGTGTGACAAATTTGAGACCCACATTCCCTTGCAAGTTGGAGCTAGACTGGAGTCTGATGTGAATAGCAGTGGTAACAGAGTCTGCAGTAGATCATTGTGTCTCTTGGCGATCAGCTTGATTCTGACATTTGGAGGCTTCCTAATCTCCTTTCTCTGTGTGTGGAAAAGCATCCCTTCCAACAGGAGGTTTTGCCTGCAAGAGTGAAGATGGATAGCAGTACCAGGGAGATCTTATGTCTAGTCTGAGTGCAGCCATGGATGAGAATTAAAAAAAAAACCTTAAATGCAACCATAAATTGGCAATAGAGAGGGGAAAAGATTTTTTTTTTCCAAGCAGAAAATGTTATGAAAATGTCTGAGATTTCAGTTTCTGTTATCTTATGCCTGGAAAACAAAACAAAACAAACTTATTTCCTGATGAAAAAGGCCAAGACTGACTCTTTTTTACTTAAACTTTGAAAATGTCATGGATTTTCTTTCTCCTCCTAATAGGATCATTTCTGACTAAGCTTAGACTCATTTTCCATTTAGGAAAAAGCTGCTGTCAAGGGAAAGACCCACCCTACTATACACATACCTGTGTGTATACTCTGTGTATCTGACATCAGAGTACACGTACAAACTCAGTGCCAAAACCTCCAGTGCCAAGTTTCCGTGTTGATTGTGCCTTTTGTACAAACATGAAGTGGGCAACCCCTTTACCCATTTATCCCCAGTGCCCCGTGGGATGCGGGCTCTCGCTGGAAGTGCACACTGATGGCAGGCGGCACAGTGAACCCTGTAATTCAATTATGGCAAGTGTATTCCCCAAGGGCCCATCGAGGTGCTTTGCTAGGAACGGTGTAAGTCACAGAATGTCAGAGAGGTTCATCCCATCTTTTTGCCTTCCAGGGCTTGCCCATCATCACTTGCATGTTTATCTAGGAAAAAAGCTTGCGTACAAGCTACCCCCATATCTTGTTTCTTTCCAGGGAAGGACGAGCCAAATGCCAGAAACCTAGTCCAGCCAAGGGCCAGAAGAGGAAACTGCCTGAGGAAAAGGAGTCCGGTGCTGAGGAACGTGGTAATATTGATCACAACAAACCCAGAGAGTTTGTTCCAAACAGTGCCCAGGCCACGGGAAGGAAAAGCAGAAGCAACATAGCCCCCTCTCTGGGGAGAGTGGCCTGGGTGGAGTCCCTAAAGAGTGCTGTGTGTGGCTTTGAGTGTCTGACACTCTCTGGCAGTGATCCACAGGAGCCTGCTTGCAAGTTGCTTGTCATTACTGACTCCTCATCAGCTCTCTCACCAGCCTCCCAGCCTGGCCACGCTTTGTGACCGCGTGCGATCGTAGGCTGTGCTTTCGTAACATTCTCTTCAATAGCGATACGAGCTCGCAGTATCACCCGTTGCTTTCTTCTTGGTTCTCATCGGTGCAGTTGTGTCAGCAGTGCTGTTTGTACAGCTGGGTTGTGACGCAGATGTGGGGACTGATACCATTTTTAAAAAAGAAATGTTTACTCTTTGTTAGGTTGGTTTTAAGCTTGATTATTCCTTGCTCCAGTTCACGGTGCTGCGTGCTGTAGCACAACTAAGGAGAGAGGACAGGGCAGGACCGAACACCACAGTGTAAGGGCAGAAAAAAAGCTGCAAAGGGCTAGTCACTTAAGGCAGTGTGACTGCAGAAGAGGTACTAGTGTGTTTCCTTCCGGCATCCTGTGATTAATGCAGCTGCCAATAGACCATTGTGAGCTCTGGCGCTCTCTTGCCCCTTCTCATTTTTTTCCATTCTTTCTTTTCCCCACTGTGAGTCAGATTTTGAGAAAGAGGAGAACACAGATGTGAAGGAAGAGAGTAATGCCATCGTGGTCAGCAGCGGATACCCCTTCTGGGTCTCGGAGCAGAACGGCAGCCATGCCTTTCCTGCAGCATCGCCAGTGCCTGCTGACCAGAGGGAGGGTCTGGCCAGAGAGCAGCAAGTGCCTACGCCGTCCTACCAGACATATCGGTGAGTCCCACCTCCCAGTGCTCATGTCCAAAGCCACCCTTTAACTGTTGGGATTCCTCCTCTTCTACTGGGTATTTCTGAAGAAAAACAGCCAGTGGGAGTGAGGAAGGATGCCTTTCTGTTGGACAGTATACCTGGGTGATAGGTGCTAGATTAGCATGGAGATAGCTCCACAAAAAAGACTTTCTGTGTTACTTCAAACCCCCTGATTCTGGGCACACTCACATCTTAGTAATGCTCTTTATTTACCTGTCCTGAAATGTTCTCCCAGCCAGCTCTGTGTACTGCAGAGCTTGCCTGTCCTTTGAAGGAAGCGTATTGGAGGAGCGGCAGGACTCCAGTGATTTCTTTCTCTTCTTATTGTTGCAAATTCAGGCATGAGCTATAGTGTGCCCAGACTAGAACTGAGCCAGAACTAGAGGAGTCTGGGCTTATCTTCTCTGGCATTTAGTTTTTCTGTGTGAATGACAGCGAGGCTTGGACTAAAATCCATGCTAACAGTAAGATGAAGCAGTAAGCAAGGGGAAGAGGCCATGCTAAGAGCTTTCCCTGCCTTTCCTCAGGGGATCTGTGTGGGTTTTTGGTGGTTTCCTGCTGTGGTAGGTTTGACTCGCTCTTCCCTCTGCTCTTGGGGCTCAGGTTCCATGAAGCTGGAGACAGCCAGCAGCTTCCCACCCGTGACACTGCAACCCTGAATGATTTCCGGGCAAGGTGCCATCCCTTGGATCTCGCCACGGTGCCTGAGCACGACTCCAAACAGCTCCCAGAGGGCTTCACCAACCTGCCTCCTCTCCCTCCGCCTCTACCTCCTCCCCAGGACTACACAGGAGTGGTGAACATGGCTCTAGACTCTGTTGGGAAACCTGGGGCCCGAGCGCCCATGTACAGTCCCTACGGCACTGAGCAAGGCCTTGGCCAGTGGATGGTGCCTTCCCACAGCCCGTACAGGGCAATGAGCTACTCGACCTTCTCCACAGAATACAATACACAGGGGGCTCCAGGACATGCCCATGGGACCATGGCAGAGTGGAGCCAGTACCCTCTGTTCCCTTATGCCTGCTGGTGAATGGGGAGACCCTTCCCAATGAAAAAACTGAAAGAAAATTGTAAATGACATCAAATTTGCTCTGGAGTGTTGACCTTTTGAAGCCTTGCCTACACTACACAAAGAGGTATTGCTGCAAGCGGTAGCATGGGACACCTTCACTTCCTTGTCTCCTTGCACAACAACCCTCACCGTATTTCACAAGCGATGGCTAAACTGGTGGTGGCCCCGGACATGTCAGTGTGGGTCTGGCTGAATCAATGTGTTCTGCAGTGCTTTTTTTCTTTCCCAGCAGGAGTAGGAAACCACAGGAGCTGCAAGAGCAGTGTTTAAAGAGATGCTGAACTCTCAGTCCCAGGCTGTTTGCATCTCGCATTTGGCAGTTTCCAAAAATCCCTTCCTCCCAGGACTGTGCATGCAAGGACTGGGGAGTTTCAGTAAGCTGTCCAGGTGGCCAAGGAGCTGTAGAGAGTTATTGCAGAGATGAGCAAAACAAGCAATCCTAGTGCCCCCTTGAGCAGTTTCCTCACGTAGTATAGTCAAACTGAAGCTAGAGTCTTGCCCTTCTTCCAGCAGTATTCCAGAGTAAAATACACAGCAACACGCGTGCGTCTGCAGCGCAGCAGTGGGTCATGCAGGCCCATGAGGGAGGAGTTTGTCCTGTGCAGGACACGCAGCAGCAAGACTGTGTGTTGTGTCTGCGTGTCCCCGTGCCCATCCCTCTTCTGTCACCCCTAGGCTGGAGGTTAGTGAAACACTCTTCTTTCTGCCGCTGGCAGAGGGAGGTTGTTCACAGAACGTGGGGGCTGCTCGGGGGGTTTCCAAAGGTCTGTGGTGGTCAGAAACAGGGCCATGCACAGCCGTGCTGGCTGCATCACTCCGACCTCTTCCTTCCGAGGGAAAGGAAATCTTCCACTGTGAACTTCTTCCTTCTTCCACCCCCTGCCACCCCTGGGGAGTGTGGTTTATGGTCGTGGTTACTGTGCTGCGCTCCGAGTGAGCTTTGTCAATAGACAGTTCTCACCCGCCTGGCACTGCTCTTCAGGCGTGTACTGTAATGAGTACCCAGTAGGCACTGAGCCGCGTGCTGCCTTGCTGGTGTGCTTGGCACCTCCCAGGCTGGTCGGCAAAGTCACCTTGCCGCTGTTCGGGAGTCTGTAGGGATCTGCTTCCATGTTTACTTATCAGAGCAGTTTCACCTCCCGTACCTCTGTGTTCCCATCGTGGGGAGGAGCTGTTCTGCCAGCGAGCAGCCTGCGCGCTGCCTTGCAAAGCCCATTTCTTTTTATCTTCGGTTAGCATCTCTGTTTGCCCAAGGGGCAGAAAGGCCCTGACAGTGGGGTCTTGTTTGAGGCAGGCTCTTTGCTTCTCCGGGAGGATAGACATGTTCCTAGATGTTATTTAGGGAATGTTTTCTTGTAACACTTTAAATAAACTGCTGCGTGGCCTGTAGCCATCAGTAGGCAGTGAAGTGTGTCATTTAGCACGTATACCAGATGGTTTTCTCTGTGTGTGCACGTGTGTGTGCGTAGCAAGGTGCTGTCTATGAGCAGACCTGGGCGGGTCTGTGACCACCAGTGCATGAGGACCGGCGTGCAGGAACCCCGGGAAAGCTGTGTGCTGCTCTGTTCAGGTACCAGCTTGGCACAGTGTGTGTGCATAGTGTAAAGGTGTCGAGCTGTGTTGATTATTGTTAAAACGACTTTGAAAAGTAGCCCTACAAATTTGTGGAACTCAACTACAGCGACTACTTCCTTATTTAAATAGTATTTGCTAACTGCTTTTGTACCACGATTATGGTATGTGCCAAGTACTGTATTAACAGCCAGGTACTTCCCCTCGGCTTCACAGGATGGGTGTGAGATGTGCAGCATTTAAATAAAGGTCACACTCCACCACAGTATATGTACTTAATACCCTATTAGCCTCTCCTCTGATAGCACCCTGGCCAGTAGTGATTTATACCGGCTGTGCGTGACACGCATGTGGATGCGAGTGACTCACTAAAAAGAGATCTGTTTGGGGGAAAAAAATGTGGAGGAGATTGTTTTTAACCCCAGAATATTGTGGTTACCCACTGTCCAAATGCCAGCTGCGTGAAGGCAGGTCAGCTGCAAAAGACTGTCCTCTGTGGATGAGAAAAAGATTTTTGTCTCTGACTATTGGTAGTTGATTTTGCCACCGTTGTTTTCCACATCCTGGAAGTCAGGTGAGAAGGCTGGCTAGGGAGTTTGGCGCCTTGAGCCCTGTGTGTGGGCACCCTGGAGGTGGTGCTTTCTGCAGGACAGTCTCCCTGGTAGCCCGCTGTCATTGCTAACAAGAAAACAGAAAGTAATACATTCCCCCAGGCTACTTGGTTAGATCTGTTTCTTTATCGTTGAAGTTGGGTTGTATTTTGCTCTGTCACAGGGTGCTAATGAGGATGAAAACCATGCTGTGCTGAGTATGAGTAACTGAGGAGAGCTGGGCAGCACAGGGAAACCCCTGTGCAAATATGGGTGTAATGTTCTTTTTTTTTCAAGCCTTCAGAATAGCACTGCAGGTGCTGCTGCCCCATGGGCCTGTTGGTAGAGCTGGTTTGGCAGGCGGCTCTGCATCGGGATAAAGGACTCGGCCTTGTGCCTACGATGAGCCATTACTCACTCATCAGCTTTCTGTTGCAACAAGACTCCTTGCCCTTCTTCAGTGAATCATCCAGCTTATTAGAAAAGTACCTTTACTTTCCTTGCTCGCCTGTCTTTGGTTAGAGGCTGCAGCTTCGCTCCTTTGTGAAGCCTTTGGAAATTTTGCCCGTGGGTGTGTGCTCTGAACTCTGCTGCTGTCTCCTCCCTTTGCAGTTCCCACTGTCTTGTTTTCTTCAGCTGTGGCATTTAAAAGTCTGTATGAGCTCGACTGAAACGCTGTTTTTGCACGCGTGTGAGACAATGTAATGCCTCTCTGACAGCTTCAATAAAAGGAAACGAGACATGCAGAAGGCAGGCCATTAAGAGCAATAAAATAAACTCTAAAGTGTGGTTTTGGTGCATCTCTTTCAAGCACACCAGTGGCTCTCCTTCAGTCGTGTTACCTGGGGCCAGTTTGTACATGCATGACACACGCTGTTGATCTCAGCGTTCATTGTTCTCCGCAGCGTATTCAGTGAGCCCCAGGTTATCTGCTTGCATGGCTAGATGTGGCTCAGTCTCTTGCACTAATTCTTTGCAGGAAATTGTTTGTTTTCTCTGCGTTTTCTGTTCCTCTCTTGCAGAGGAGTTACATAAGGATGAGGGCAAATGGACTATAAATGGGATCTAGGTAAATTTCCTATGGGAAATAAAGATCCTGATTTATTTTGGTTTCTCCTACTGCTTTTTGCAGCCTTAAGCTTGTCTGACACTGCTTCAATGCAGATGGGAACGGCAGAAAAATGCTTTCTTGCCAATGCTGCAGTTCCTCCACAGACAGCCGCATCCCAGTGAGCAGCCGCAGGCTCGCGGGGGGGACCCGGGGGGGGGCGTCCCCCGCTTTTTCCCGCCTCTCCCCACGCCTCTCAAAAGATACAGCAAGTCCTCCGTGGGGTACGGGGTCCCCTGTTGCCTGGCCCAGGATGTGGCCTCTGCACTTGTACCCACTCGGTCATCCTCTGGCTCTGCAGCAGAAACTACCAGCTGCTTTCAGTAAGAGCTTATCTCATTTCCAGGTGCTGGGGAAGAAAGAAGTGCTCAGCTGGTGAAAACCAAACTTGTGCCTGGTGCCATCAATCAGCCTCCTTAGTCTTCATGTGCATCGTGTGGGGCAGGGTCTACCTGTCCCCGTGGGGGCCCAGGGAGACTCCCTGCCTGCAGAGAGGCATGAGGATACCCTGGGGAGCAGTGTTTCTGTGCCCAGGTGGGCTGGGGCACTTGAATTGCCTTGTAGCTGGACAGCCGGGCTGAGCCAGATTCATTGCTTCCTTTGGATTGACCTGACTGCCCAGCATGGGGGTCTCTGGTCCTTGGTGACCCCCCCCCAGGAGAGTCCTGCAGTGCATTTCCTCAGTTAGCATATGTACTGGGTCACCGTAAGCAAATCCAAACAAGCGGTGCAAACCCCCTTCCAGGAATAATAACATTCTTTGAGTCAAATGGGGTTTATTGCAGAGCTTAAAAGCCGCCTAATTTTCGAGCCCCAGGTTGGGATCCCATACGGAGCCTCTTAGCAGGGGGGATGCAGCATTTGGCTGACATCAACAAACAGCAGCCATCACCCGCCGTGCCAGCACAAAGCCAAATACCCCCTGCCCAGGAGCTGCAGGCAGCTGCCAGCCCCCCTCTCCCTGCTCATCAGTGGCCAAATGTGCGGGGTGCAGGTGTCTCCACTTACCTGCTTCCCCGCCCTCAGCCTGAATTTACTTTGTAAATGGCCAAGAGTAAAGAGAAAATGGGTAGAACTGTCCAGGGCCAGCTGGAGAAGGGTGGACAAAGGGTTTTCCCCAAAGCGCAGGGAGGGGGTGGTCTGTCACACTCTCCCCTCTGCCCGGAGCGATGCCTGCCCAAAGCCCGCCCTGGGCTGGCAGGGCTCCTGCGGTGCTTGGAGGCACGACTGGGCTGCGGTTCTGCTGCGGCTGTACTGGTGCCTGTTTCTGCCTGTTTCTCGAGGGCTGGGCTTGGTGCCCCTGCTGTGAGCAGCAGGTGTGCCTCTGGCCTGGCTCCCGGTGGCTCCAGGTAAGCTGCTTCCACTGTCGTGTTTTGCAGAGATGTAGTAAGGTTTAAATGTGGCTTCTCGACATCACAGCAAATCTGAGCAGGAGAAACCCAGGGAGAAGGAAGGCAGCTGCTTGCAGGCTCACAGGACAAAGCGAAGCAAGTCAGGACAGCGCTTCTCTGCAGCCCGTGCTCACATGGTGTGTGCTGCCCGGAACAAATGCCAAAGCTTTCTGGAGACCTGGGCCTGAGCAGCAGCATCGGGCAAGATTTTAACCAAGGTGAAGTGATCCTTCAGTGCAGGGGTGAGGAGAGGCACTGCAGCCCTGATCAACAGCGTTGCTGCTCAGCTTGATTTAGTGTTGTTCCTTTTTTATTTTTCTAAGTCATGTGAGTCTGTTTTATGGCATGAAGTACTTTGCTGTAGGGTGCTGGATTGCCTCTGGCACTTCTGTAATGCTCCTGTTTTTTCTTTGAATGTGCAGGTGTACGACTACAGTGTTCCCGCCCAGGCAGCACCCTGCTTGGTGAGCGTAATGGATGGATTTAATTTCCATCTCCTACAGTTCTTTGGGGACATGCTGAGATTTTTATTTCTTCCTCTCTTATTTTTACTGAAGAGGGAAGATTTTGTGCCTCCATAAAGGAGAATGGGAGTGGGTAGCTAGTGATAGAGGACAGGCACACCATCAGTCACGCCGCCAGGCGTAAAACATTGCTCAGTTTTGCTATCTCTGCCTCTCATTGTAAAAATTAGACTGTACATGTAAAACACAGCAGCTGTTCACAGGGGGGACCTCCTGCGTGCTGGCACTGCCACTCCTCCAGCTCTCATCTGTGCGGTCGCAAAGTGCTGGCACCTGGGATCTCTGCATAACATCCTCGCTGGGAGATGGTAGGTTAAGGGCAGATCTGCGTGGCAATGCTGGTGCAGAGTAGAAGGGGATGAGTCAGACCTGATTTGTGTCACACCGCGGGGTCCGTCCCCATGCTGGCTCTGTTCGTGCTGAGCAGCCAGCCCTCTGCTCGCCCACAATCTGGTTTTGGCTCTGTTTTACCGTCTAGAAGGGGGTC